TGAATTGTGAAACTTGTCCTAAGGTATATATTGGTCAAACCGGCAGAACTTTAACGAATCGCATCCAGTAACATCATGTGAGCTATGTAAATAAGAAAACAAGTTCAACGTATTCAAATCATCTTTTAGAAAAAAATAAAATTTTAAACGATTTCGAAATTTTACATATAGAAAATAAAGGTCTAAAGCTGAATCATTTGGAAGCAATGGAAGTTAATAAACTTGAAATTTCAATCATTTTACTGAATGACCCACTGGATTTAAATAGATCACCATTACTGAACTTGTTTTCTTAGAAACCAATGTTATCCTAGTCTTTGTAGACATATTATTGATGTATAATTGATATAATATGCTCAAGGTAATCATAATTGAGGATGTACTTTGGGTATATAAAAATGGGGTAGATGCTATAAGTAATTATGATCGGGTAAGTTACTGAGTAAGTAGTTCTCACTGGTGATTACGTGGGGTATATAAACATCAGAGTGAAGAATTAACTATTAGTATGTTTATCACTACGAAAAAGCTACTGTGATAGCGAAATATGTCTTGATACTTTTGAAAATAAAGTTTGTGAAGAGATCAAATCATTATGTGCAGTTTGTGAAATTACTATGGATCGTCATCAAGTAACGGTCGAGTCATTCAGAAAAATAAGACTTGTCAAGTCACGTTCGAAGTTTCTTGTGCTGTAATTTCATAAAGACATCTTTTTGAGGAAAATCAAGTTTTTATGGAACTTTCCTTTTATAAGAATTGAGAAGAATGAAGTGAATCACAAAAAAGCATGTGTAGAATGCAATATTAACTCAATTATAATTGAATATTTCCAACAGAGTGATTTTGGGCACATTTGTAAACTGTTCAGTGAAAATTTCACAATAGAATGTTACCTGAATACGTTGTATTTTCATCAAGTATCAGCCAATTCCATCACATATCAAACAATAAAATCAAAAGTTATTAATGTGATAGCTTTCCGAATGAACAAAAAGAAATACATCACGAAAAGCCTAGGTTCTAAAAGAACTATCATCATTTATATTTGATTACTCTTTAAAACTAACATAATAATAAGAATCTATCGAATCCACACCAGAACAAAAGTACTGAAACTCGATAACACAATCAAATTCTAGTACCATTATTAACTCTCAAAATACATACATTCAAATACAAAATACATAATTTTTCCCACCAAGCAGTTGGTCACAAACTTGAGTAATCTTGAAGTGACCTTTTGAACTGACAGAATCAGGGGTCTTATCTTTCAATGTACCAAACTCAACTAATAGGGTACTGACATGTCTTTTTTTTCTCTGAAATACCAATAAAATGAAAACATCATTACAATATATTCTTGGCACAAACAATTTCTTATTGAAACACTGGCAGAGAAGAGACCACATCATCTGATGGGAATTCTCCAATGATATATGCAAGATTAGATTATTTATTGTCGAGTAGTATGAGAATGAGTATTGGTTTATAATAGTTATATCAATGATTTTTTTCAATTAAAATTATTTAAATTACTGAAGACAACTTCATACACAAATGTTTAAAAAATCAACTTTTTTCAAGAAACCTTGACAGTCTTCACCATTTCAAAAATATGTACAAAAGTTATATACTGTAACTGTAAACAACTCCAAGCATCGACAAACCAAACATTCTACATTTTCACACTTGACGTCATTTGGCGGTAATTCATGTTCATGTACTATAAACTAACCCAGTAAATGGCACTGCAATTAAAATAATATGTATGTATAGGTATGATAAAACATCAATTTACTGATTTTTATAAAAGCCAATTCACTTAAAAATACTCAACATCATAGAAAAATCGCATTTGTTTTGGTGTGTGTAGAAAAACATTTTAGATACAGCAAGCGGCAAACGTGATGGTGAGGTCGCCCCCATGCGCACAAACTCATTTTCAATGTAACCCCAACTACAGCAAAACATACAAATGCTCTGTACAGAGGCTTATCATTACTTATCCTCCAATACTGTTGGCGTTTGGCATTGTCTGAATAGTTTGTATTGTTTCTGAAAGAAATGTCATCGCCCAACAAAAAACCAGTTATCAAAAGTATATCATTATATAACATTTTAATGAATTGTACTGCTACATATCCTCCTGGAACCCACCATCCACTGAGTTGGACATATCGTGTTGAACCAATTCTACAAATAGCGACTTTTTAACCTATTGTACAACTCATTGGACATGTAAACTATCGCCATCTAGTACCCAACGTGTGATTCTCACGAATAACTGGCGGCGTGCAGTCTGGTGTTAGTGTAATAGCGTCATTTAATAGAGCAACATATGATGGTAAGTACCAATTTCTTAGTTTGTCTCAATTGTTATTTAAATATTTCTGCATAAAATACTGTATCAACACCTCTTTTATATATTTTTTAACAAAAACATTGCCAAAGTAAAGAAATTATTCTATAGGATGTCTATTTGTACAATGTCCAATAGAATGGACGTGCGGACTCAAAGTTGAATTCTTGGGTTTAATTCAATCCAATTTATTGGACATTGGGACTCTAAGAAGATGCCTTTTTGTAAAACATCTGAAGTATTAGTTTTTTATTTTCAGCAATTTTTGGTCATCGAAAACATTTAATACCGACTGAAGATAATGATAAACTTTTGCAGTTATTAGAATGTGATTCAGATTTAGAACAAGAAGTAGGTGACTGCCAAAAACTTTAGGAAGAAGACATTGACAGTACTGATCAGATAGTAGAATATGAAGAAAACTTAGATGAGAATCCAGAAAATGATATAGTTGAGGAGTTAATGAATATGAGGAAGAAAAAAAAGAACAAGATTACCAAACTGACTATGACTCAGACGATGATTTACCATTAAGTCTGTATCAGAGGTAGATTTCAAAAACCCAAGAAAATGCCGAGTTGAACTTTTCCAAGCAACGTAAAAAAAGTAAAGCTAAACAAAGCTTTACTTGGGAAGAATGTGAGACGTTCTGTGGAATGAAATTTCAAGCATCAGCAAATACAAGCTCTAGTTACGAGAGGAGCAGTTTTACACCATCAGATTATTTTTCAAAATATATCGATGACAACATATGTCAAACAATTTGTAATTGCACAAATGTAAAATACATGCTAGTGCACAACAATTCTTTAAATTTGTCACTAATAGAGACAAAACGTTTCTTTGGGATATCCATTTTAATGTCTTTGTTAAAATATCCCAGGTTACGTATGGATTGGGCAAAAACAACAAGTCTTTATTCAATTGCCTCTTGTATGACAAGAGATACGTACTTCACAATAAGAAACCGTTTAAAATGTGTAGTAGATGGTGACATTTCTCAAAATTTGCGGAAGAAAGACAAGTTATGGAAAGTACGCCCATTCTTGCAGAAAATCAGAGAACCATGCCTATCCTTGCCAAGAAACAAAACTGTTGCAATAGATGAGCAAATGATTCCATCTACAGGAATTTGCGCTATGAAACAATTTGTTAGAGGGAAACCAAATCCAGAAGGGCTCAAGAATTTTGTATGCGCAACGCCTTCAGGTCTTGTTTTGGATTTTGAAGTATACCAAGGTAAAGATACATTTTTAGATAATTCCACCAAAGATTTGGGGGTAGGACCTTCAGCTGTTATTAGACTTGTCCAGTCGCTCAGTGAAGTATCTGAGATTATCATGGATAGATATTTCACAACAATAGCACTACTCGAGTTTTTATTAGAAAACAAATTGCATGGTACCGGCACTATAATAAAATCAAGGATCCCACGAGCCGTTCATCTAGATTCGGTAGAGGAGCAACTGAACAAAGTGTCAGATCTGATGGAAAAATTAAAATCATATAATGGTACGATTTAAAACCGGTACTACTTACGTCAACGGATTTAAAAGAGCACCCTGTGGACGAATTCAAACGGGATAATGAATTTATACGGGTTAAAAGGCCTCACGTAGTTGCCAAATACAACAAGTGCATGAGAGGTATTGATCTTATCGACAGAATGATAGCATACTACCGTATCAATGCCAGGACCAAAAAATGGACTGTTAAAATGATTTTTCATTTTACAAATTTGACAATTATAAATTCTTGGATATTTTATCGAGAAGATCTGAATGGCTATTAGGATCTACCAATGATGAAAATACATAAATTGAATTCTGTCAAAACTCAGTCCATACAAGGAATAAGCCAATGGGATACAATGTTCCACAACCTCGATCTCATTCATCGTCACCCATGCCAAATAATAATAATGCCAGTCTTAGAAGTAGGCAACATTTGCCTGTTTTAAGATAAAAATAGATATTTTAGAGACCGAATGTCCAACATATTGAGCATGATATTCTGTTTTTTTATTATACTTAAGACAGGAAGTCCAATGTAATGGACTTCTATTTTTTTTTATTATTTCCTCAATAAAATAAAAACAAAAATTACACTGTGTTTTAGTACCAATTCTTACCACAAATTCATAAGAAAGTACTCAAAATAGCTATTTATTCAAGTTCGGATCTCAGGAGACTATAATACTGAATAAAATATGGAAAGAAATTACAAAGAAGGAATGTTTCATTTGATATCCAATATTTATTTAGTTGGGGAGTCTAAACCTGCGCGACCGCTCGCCATCACATTTGGCGCTTGCTATAATAGGCCTGAAAAAAATATAAACAATAATATCTCACATGTAGTGAACTTCCAGACTCCAAAATCCAGAGGCAAAACTTATTGGCATGACCTTCATACTTGTATAATTATCATAATGGGATTCTATAACTTGGAATGAGCAACTTTTGAATACTTTTATAAAGTAACAAATAGTATTCTATTCGATACATCAAATTCGTTGACATAAAAAATACATTGTATAAGTAGAAACTTTTGGACTATGAACATTTTCATCATGTTTAAACAGTACCACTTCTACTTTCTCAAATATATAAAATATACATGTAAATAAGGTAAATTCTAAAAAATCAATAACTACTATATTTACACAGAAATGTCATGAGTACGTCTCTTTATTGCGTTTCAATCATATCTTGACTATATATCCTGAATATTCAAACCTCATTTCTCCTTCTACCCTTAGTGAACTAAGGGGGACATATCCCGTCTGGAAAAAATAGAACAGTTTATTTTAAAAAGTTTCAATAATATATAATACAAGACAATACAAATATCCAACTACTATAAAATTAGATAATACAGGAAATGAAAGTGTTGCATTTAATATGTCATACATGGGTACATTTTTTTTTTAATCTTGGTTACGCTTAATATTTTAAAAAAAGAACTTGGAATTTTCATTAAAACTTAGGACAGTAGAAATGCACTCCTGTAATTCTGAAATATTGGAAATGAAAATTAAAATTACACAGGGTATTTTCTAACTATGGTACAACTTCATAAGGTGATTTGTTAGGTCGGTTTAAGAAAAAAGTTCCTATGAACATATGCCCGGAGTTGATTCGTTTCTGAGATACTGGGCGTCGAAGGTTAAAAAAACGGTAGGTAAGGTATTTATAAAAAATCATAAGTATCCTTACACCGGCACCGATTTAGTTGAAATTTGTACAGTTATTTGAAGTAATAAGGCTCTCCAGTGGCGTCTCAATGGCCAACAATATTTAAAAAAACGCCAGACTTTTGTTGTAGTTTTTTTTTAGATTAAGCAACTAAAAATACAACATTTTGTCGCATGCTTTTTTTTCATATCAAGCTTCGTTTTCGAGAAAAAAAATCACTTCTTAAAACCATCCATACACAACATAAAATAAAAACCAAACGTAAATAATAAATAATTTCAACCTTAAAGTAAATGAGCAAAATGTCCATCTGCTGATAAAGAAACACGACTGCAATCGATTTGTCATTGATTGTCTGACACTTTCAAAAATACCTGGAATATTCTTCATGACATTTCAATTGTCAATTATTCGATTCCTTAAGTCATTCACATCTAGTACAGACGTTTTTAAAACAAGAGCCTTCAGATGACCCCATCAATAGAAATCTAGAGGATTCATATCAGGACTGCGAGCTGGCCAATTTTGAGGTTCTACACGTCCAATTCAGCGATTAGGGTAGGTGATGTCGAGATGCTGACGAATAAAAACACTAAAATGAGTTAGAGCCCCGTCTTGTATAAACCACATGTTGCCTCTTACAAGTACCAGCACTTCTAACAAAATGGGTAAACGATCTCGCAAAAAGTCCGTGTAGGATTCCCCTGTTAATCTTGCTGGTAGAAAAAATGGGCCAATTAGGTGGTCACCAATCATTACTACCCAAACGTTCAGCGGAAATTGTTACTGAAAATGACTTTCTCTAATAACGTGGTGATTTTCATCAGCCCACAAATGGTCATTGTGAAAGTTTATAATAGTATCTTGTGAAAAATTTCCTCAGGTCATTTTTACGAGTGAGTTCAAATCAAAGACAAAACATGAGCATCTGTCATAAGACAGAACCTAGAAAATCAAATGTAGCTCATACCCCAGAGATGAAGTAAGATTAGTCCCAATAACTCTTACAAATAATCTAAAATAATGTCTATTCCTTTCTAAACTTATCCTTTGAAGAAGCTATGGGAGAGAAAATAAGCTGAATTTCTTATACTTGTGTAGCGCTCACTGATATTATGTGAAGAAAAACTGTGCAATGTTGAATAATGGAGTAACAAATTTCAGGTGAATTCAATATTTATTGACATATGCCCCTACTTCACAAATAGAACAGGGGTGCTGCAATGTAACTTGATTGGCACTGTTATTCCCTAATAATGAATTCAAACAAACTCATCAATAGGCATTATTGGACCCTCTTCTATTTACATATGATATTTAGGTTTGTACTGACCTCATTATTTACTTTCCTGATTTTCCACCAACCTTCTTTATAACCTTCTTTACCTATTACTATTACATACTCATCTTCTCTAATACTGGTCTGACATGCTTCCCATGCGTCAAACTTTCTAATGGTCACAGCCTTCAACTGACGAAATGGCCATAGTAATCTTGTATTTTCGTCTAACCTGGAAAAAAGTTATATGCATAGGTATATCATCTACCTTTCGAAACGTGATATTATATATTTTTTTCTTAAATAGAAATTTGGTTAGAGAGCCTTTCTAGATTTCAAATGTAACATAATGAAAAGTATTATTCAAGACACATACTGCATTCATTCAAGACACGTTTCACAACACAGTAGCTTATTCAGTTGAAGTGGTACATTAAACTATTTTACAATCCATAGATTTTGACAATAACTAGTTACCTACAATACAATAACTGATTGATTTCGATAAATTCTAGTTGAGCAGGCAACTTTCAAGAATAGGTGGTGAATAACGAATAATTCTAGTAAATGAAGAACTGCAGTAACAAACGTTACTGCAGTTTCGTCCTATAAGAACATTTTCAAACTTATACATTAAACTTTAATGACAAATAATACAAATAAAAGTGGTAAAAAACATACATTAAAGTTTAATGTTTAAGTTTCAAAATGTCCTTATAGGACGAAACTGCAGTAACTTTAGTTACAAATAAAGGTTTTAAAAAATAAAATATGGAAAGAAATTACAAAGAAGGAATTGTAAGAAGGCCTGTTAGACATCGTAGTTCATCCCTACTGTAATCCAACAACTGTTTGGTATCAAGCTTCGAAGGGTCGATAAACGCCTTGGAGTGAGCCAATCCTGGAAGATTCTGCCAGAAGTCCATAAATCTTCTTGCCATCCAGGTGTTGAATGTTTGTTTGGTAAAGCCCAAAGCAATGCGACAGGTTCTGGTCCGATGAAGCCGCTTGCAGCACCCTCCTTTGCAAGAGAGTCAGCAGCTTCATTACCTTCCAGGCCAGTATGGCCAGGAGTCCAAACCAGAGACAATCTGTTAAGTCTTCCTATCGAGGAGAGTCGTTTTTGTCAATTTGCTACCAATTTAGACGTTGCTCGGTAGGAGCCAACGCCGCTTGACTGTCCGAAAATATTTTCATTGACTTGTGTGTGAGGTTGAATTTATCCAATCTTTCCGCACACAATTCAATAGCATAAATTTCCGCTTGAAATACAGTCGCATAAGTTCCTAGGCAAGTAGATAGCTCTGTCCTGGGTCTGCGACTAAAAACACCTGCATCAGAACCGGACGGTGTTTTTGATCCATCTGTGAACCAACAACTATCTGCTCTTAATATTTCCTTCTCCCAGAGGATCCCGTTCTCTCCACTCAGGAATAGTACTTTATAAGGCAGTTCGTAGTTGACAGTTGGAGGCATAAAGTCAGAGGTCATTTCCAGAATGCTATGACTTCTAATGTCAACAGTCTGTTGCACTCTGCATTTAAATGATTTGTGCAATTGGCAATATGCACAAGTCTGTATGCAGTCCATCTAGCCTCTCTCTCCAGAAATATGTGGAGAGGAGGTAGATCTAGATGACCTTGCCAGGATGGCAAAGTCATCTGCATAAGCTTGCAGATCAACTTTTTTTCCGTCGAGTCAAGGGCATCAAGCAGATTAATTATCCATCAGAAGCGACTACAGAAGGGAAGATAGTACCCCACCTTGAGGGTAGCCTCTGGTGACCCTGAACCTGATGGCCTCGCCTTGAAGAGTCGTAGTTAGAATAGTAGTACAGTTTGAAAAAGATGCAAATTCAAGATGGCTATCAAATGACAGGGCATGACATGAAAAAAATGCAACTTCAAGATGGCCGCAGAAACAAAATGACTGATTACATGTTACTTCACAACTACCTCAATATGGGTATCAAATGACAGGGCTCGACTACGCTATGAAAAAGATGCAAATCCAATATGATCTATACAAAGAACTTTGTCAACTCATATTCGGGATACAAGCATGGATCTCCCACCCAAGTCAAGAATTTGTATGGTGTCAAGGACTGTGTGGTGTTAAGGTGGCTAAAAATGATACGTCGTTAGCTATACACCACTCAAGTTAGGTTAACGAGTGAAACGTGCCGAGAATTGTATGGCATTAGGGTGGATCAAAATTAAAAAATTGAAAATGAAATTAGTAAAAAAAATTATGTTGAACGGTTTTATCAAAAAATTTACTGAAAATTAAAAAATAATTCGGAAGGTGCTAGGTTCCAGTCATCACACCACTCTCCTCAGCACTCTAAGGTATTGATAAGATGAAAAAAATCGTTGTGTGTAGTATTCACATATTTACTCAGGTACGCTACGCCCAACGATTTTATTTTTTTTTATCTAATCGATACCGTAGATTGCTGAGGAATGTGGTAAGATGACTGCTACCTAGGACCTTCCGAATTATTTTTTACTTTGTAATACATTTTTCAAGAAACATAATTTTTTTTTTACTTATTTCATTATTTATATATCCAAGGTGTTACCAGTGTTGTATGCTATGTTAATGTTATGTTTCGTTAGAAGTCTTTTCATTTTTTCTGNTTATTACAGATTTAGATATCACAGACGAACAAAATGAAGAAGATAATGATGAAGATGAGAGTGATGCTAGCAGCGACAATGATGAATATTTGTCTGATGAGTCAGATGAAAATAAATTTTTTCTTTTTTCATGTGTTAATTATTTTTTCATGTATTCTAGATAATAAAGTTGATATATTTTGAAAAATACATTTTCAATTTACGTTATGTTTCACATAGGAAAACGAATATAACTATTATTGTAGGACTAGGGATATATACCTGTTTTCTCGTAGGACATTGTTTTATTTGGACGAAAAACACAATAATCTATCACGTGATACCTTTGTCCTACGGTTACTAGTAAAAAAAAAATGGTCTTGTGGTATTGACAACTTTGGAGTGTCTGACCAGAAAAACATAACACGCAATTTGTAGGACAATGTGAGTGTTAAATTATATAAATATCAACTAACTGACCAAATAAAATTCAGCTGGTTAGTAATTATATTTCATGTTTTTGTAAATAGTACATGTTGCAAAGGGGGGACCTCTTTGATCAAATCGAGCATTTTGTAGGACAAATATTTCTTTGGGTAATTCAGATAATCATTTTCAGAATTATATGAAAAAAAGACAGTTAGTAATGAATTTTTGAAAACCGCCAAATCAACAAATTACGTTCTTATTACCCCTGTTAGCTTGTACTGGCAAATACTGGGCGTCTCGTCAAAAAGAAGCTAGTCACGGAAAATCAGCTTGTTAGTAATAAATAACGAAAAAGGGCGAGGGATCCCGGACTAATATCTTTGAATTTTTTGTCCATTTCTGAAGAGGGAGGCAGACTTTGGCCTCCGAAACATTAAGATAAGAATTGTATTTATTTCTTAGCAATTTTTTTGATAGGCAAAATTGTTAAATACAACAAGTTACTGATGAATACTTTGATTTTACGCAGTAATTCATCGGGGTAAACTAAAAAGTTTGCCCTTTTACACTTGTATAAAGTTCATTATAATTTTTATATTTTTCAGATTGTGGAAAGTAAATTTCCCAAAAAAGTCGATGAAAAACTGATTTTCCTCCACAAAAAATTACTTTCGTTGAAT